AAAATCTTTATTGTTCAGATTATTAATTGTTCCTTTTTCCTCCCCATAGCTCCCCTACCCGATTCCCACCCCACCCTCTGCCTTTACCTCCCCCACCTACCCCACTGTCCTCATCCATAGGTGTATGATTTTTGTTCATCTTCCTGCCCCCCTATTTCTCTCCCCAACCCCTGAGAATTGTCAGTCCACTCCCTTTCTATGTCCCTGATTCTATTATATTCACCAGTTTATTCTGTTCATCAGCTTTTCTATTCTCTTGATTTTTAGATTCACTTGCTGATAGATATGTATTTGTTGTTCATAATGTTGATCTTTATTTTTTTCTTCTTCTTCCTCTTCTTAAAGAATCCCTTTCAGCATTTCCTATAATACTGGTTTGGTGGTGATGAAATCCTTTAGCTTTTTCTTATCTGTGAAGTTCTTTATCTGCCCTTCAATTTTGATTGATAGTTTTGCTGGGTAATCTTGGCTGTAAGTTCTTGCTATTCGTCACTGAATATTTCTTGCCATTCCCGTCTGGCCTGCATAGTTCCTTCCTTCCTTCCTTCCTTCCTTCCTTCCTTCCTTCCTTCCTTCCCTTCCCTTCCCTTCCCTTCCCTTCCCTTCCCTTCCCTTCCCTTCCCTTCCCTTCCTCCCTTCCTCCTTTCTTTTCTTTTCTTTTCTTTCTTTCTTTCTTTCTTTCTTTCTTTCTTTCTTTCTTTCTTTCTTTCTTTCTTTCTTTCTTTCTTTCTTTCTTTCTTTCTTTCTTTCTTTCTTTTTCTTTCTTGTCTTAATATATTTTATTGATTTTTTAGAGAGGAAGGGAAAAGGATAGAGAGCCAGAAACATCGAAGAGAGAGAAACATCAATAAGCTGCCTCCTGCACACCTCCCACCGGGGATGTGCCCACAACCAAGGCACATGCCCCTGACCGGAATCGAACCTGAGACCCTTCAGTCCATAGGCCGACGCTCTATCTACTAAGCCAAACCAGTTAGGCTGGCCTGCATAGTTTCTGTTGAGAAATCAGCTGACAATCATATGGGTTCTCCCTTATAGGTAACTAACTGTTTTTCTCTTGCTGCTTTCAAGATTATCTTTTGCCCTTGGCATTTTAATTATGATGTGTCTTGGTGTGGTCCTCTTTGGATTCCTTTTGTTTGGGGTTCTCTGTGCTTCCTGAACTTGTAAGTATATTTCTTTCACCAGGTAGGGGAAAATTTCTATAATTATTTCTTCAAATAGATTTTCAGTATCTTTCTCTCTTCTTCTGGCATCCCCATAATTCAGATGTTGTTATGCCTGAAGTTGTCCCAGAAGCTCCTTACACTATCTTCATATTTTTGGATTCTTTTTTCTTTTTGCTCCTCTGGTTGAGTGTTTTTTGGTTCCTCATATTTCAAATCTTTGACTTGATTCTTGGGATCCTCTAGTCTGCTGTTGGATATCTGTGTATTATTTTTTATTTCAGTCAGTTTATGTTTAATTTCTAGTTGGTCTTTTTTGATAACCTCCAGGGTTTCACTAAATTTATCGGTCTTTTCTAGGAAATTCTTGAAAAACCTAATAACCGTGGTTTTGAACTCTATATTCAGTATTTTGCTTTCATCCATTTCTTTCATTTGTGACCTGTTTCTTTGTCTCTGCATTTTGGTTGCTTTCCTTTTGATAGAGTGGCTTAGTGTGCTAGTTGTCCTATAGGGCCCAGTGGCTAGGCCTCCCCAATTACCCAAGGTGGACACTCTTGGTGCACCCCTTTGTGGGCTGTGTGCACAGTCTTGTAGTTAAGCCTTGATTGTTGTTGTTATCACTGGAAGGAATTGACCTCCAGACCAATTGGCTGTGAGGATCAGCTGTGTCTATGATGGGAACTTCTGTGCTGGAGACAAGACTTGCTTCAGTGGGGCTTTGGTGTTAACTGAGTCTGCCTCCTGAGTGTGTCCCTTGTAGATCTGAGGAGTTGTAATCTAGATGGTCCTACTCTGACCCCTACATACACTGGCTCTTGGATCTCTAAGGAGGTGCTAATTTAGCCTCTGCCTGAGGCCACCCAGTAGGAGCTATGGATAGATCTGCAGATTCTTCTTTTTTGTTTGAGTTTTGGAGGTGCCCAGATGAGACCCAGGTGTGAAGCAGTGCAAGATGCTGTAAAGCCTTGGGCCTTCTTTTGGATGTTCTGGGTCTCACTGACTCAGCTACAGTTTGTTAGGTAAGTTTAGATTTCAAAGGATCCCGCCATTTATATGCAAAAGCCTCTGCGCACAGTTTGGATGGGGCTGAGTCTCAGGGCAGAGCAAACAGCAATGGCTTCCTGTCAGTCCTGCCCAGTCTCAATGTCCCTTGGTAATTGCTGCAAGCACCTCTGAGAGAAAACCACCCTTGAGTTCTGCCTGCTGCCAGACAGCCTAGTTTCTCCCCAAATGAGTCTGGGTTCCCAGAATCTCACCGGGAACTGGAGTTCAGAGCGGTTGGGAATTTTTGTCTCCCTCTCACTTAAAAAAGACAGCTGTGTACTCAATTGCCAGTCCTCTTGGTGTGCACCTCCGTACCTCTGCCTTTATTTCCGCAGCTCCTCTGAGTCTCAGTGTGCTTTTCTCTTTCCTTCTAATTGTAGAATTTCCAATCAGCCAGCCTTCCTGTGGTTCTGGATGATGTCCCTTTTGTCTTTTAGTTGTAATTTTGAAGTTGTTGTATGAGGCAGCAAATTCAGCTGTTTACCTATGTCACCATCTTGGATACTCTCTCCTTTTGAGTCTTGTAGAGAAATACATTTATCCAGAAACTGATTGATTATTGCTTTTCTCCCATTATTTGTCCATCCTCTGTCTCCTTCATGAAATTTTCTGTATCAGAGAGTAAGGGAGAGTTTGAAGCTTTTTATGGCTATTATGTAAGAGCATGGATGCGTATCTAACTGGTTTTTCAATAAAGTGAGCATTTAAACTAACATGATTTTCTTAGGTTGAGCAGGAATGTTTCTTTTAAAAATATTTTTATTGATTTCAGAGAGGGAGAGACAGAAATAGAAGCATCAATGATGAGAGAGAATAATTGATTGGTGGCCTCCACCCCTTACTGGGGATCGAGCCTGCAACCTGGGCATGTGCCCTTGAGCAGAATCAAACCCAGGGCCCTTCAGTCCACAGGCTGATGTTCTATCCACTGAGCCAAACCAACTAGGTCAGGGATTTTTCCTCATGCACTGGCATAGCAGCCACAATCTAATCGATGCTGAATGCATCTATGGTCATACTTTGGAAAAATGTTGCATTCAGTTCCTTAGAGCTTTTCTGGATTCATGGTGCTTTGTGTTTTTATTCTAACAGCTGCTTATTTGCATAAACTGTTAAAGACACTTCCCTACTATCGCTGGGATATTTATCCCTCTAGCTTCTGGGATATTCTTGTTCTTATAGATTCTTTAATAAACATCATCGATAACATCTTTTCTTTCAACAAAAGTTCTGCCTAGCTGAAACCTCATTATCTTCTTTCAACTACACAACAAAACTAAGCTTTGTACCATATTACCTTGGCATATCAATAACTTCATTAATCTCCAGGACTTTCCTGAATTTCTCTTAGTTTCTTTACAGATCTTTAGATACTGTAAAGTAATGATCAATTCCATTTGCTTTATTTAACAAACAAATATTGGGTACCTATTATGTTGCAGGCATCAGGTTACCTGTTTGAGCTACAGAGTAGAGGAGCTCACACTTGGTTTTATGGCTTGATTCAGCGGTTCTTAACTGACACCTCCAGGACTGTATTGAAAAGAGGAACCCCCTCCTATGCCTATTAAATGCTACAAGGAGAATGCAACTAATTAAGAAAGCAATTCAGGTTACTGAGGTGATAACAAAACAAAAAAATAAAAATAAAATAAAGGGGGGGAGGTTAAAGCAAATAAATTGGGAGAAATACTGAATCCAAAGACACTTGGGAAGAAGCATACTTTAAAGGTTGGATTTTTTTTTTTTTAGGACGATATAAGGTTTCATTTTGTTATGTGTATAAACAAGAACAAGTTAAATGAAAATAATAGGAAACTGCCCATTTCATTATTTTTACGTCAACATATTGATCACAGCATTAATGTTCTGTGTTGATATGATTCTTTTATAGCATTTCCTCCCATCAAAAAATGTTGAGGGAGAGTATTACCTCTTAGTGAAGTTTTCATAAGTAACATGAGGTTTTTTTTAGATGTGGGGTCCCCGAGGGCAGGAGACGATTTTTTCTTTGTGTTTTGTTGAAGAAGTTTGAAGGCGTAATTCCGGTTCTAGAGGTGCAAGGAATCGACTAAGCCATCGCTCCCCCTGCTCTATACTGGCTGAAGGAGGACACCCCCGTCTCCTTTTGTTTTCTGAAAATAAAAGTAAGGAGGCAGAGGGTGTTAAGAGTGAAAGGCTTTCTAGGCGTTAAACCTGGGTGCTTAAGACTATCCACGAACCCTCCAGCTTCTACTTACTTCAGTGGCTCCTGGAAAATACTGTAGAATGTAGATGTTCCCCCCAAATAAAAGGGCTTAGGGCAGAGAGGCTGGTCCGGGAGACGCGGGAGAGCGCGCAGGTTGGGGCAGCCTCCAGGTCTGGAGCGGAAGGTGCGTGCATTCTGCAGGTGCCGGGATTGTGGGCTCGCACCGCCCCGGCTCCAGAGAGGGCGGGAACGGCGGCGTGGCTGAGAAAAGGACTTGCCCTCCGAAGCAGAGCCCAAATGTATCCCAAACTGCAGGCGTCGTCGGTCCCGGCGAGTGCCCACCTCTGGCTCGGGGGAGGGGAAACGGCATTTGCAGAAACCGCAGGGAGAGGAGCCCCTCGTTTGGGACGCTAGAAGGCTGGCCCGGCTTAGCTCGTTCCCGACTGTCTTCCCGTCATTGCTTCCCTCACGTGTCCATCATTCCAACCTGCTCTTCCCATTGGCTGTTTCGCCTGCCACTCGGTTCCGCCGCGCTGACCCCCATTGGGCCCCCGCCGCACGAGGCCCCGCCCCAGGAGCTGGGCACCAACACTAGGGCGCCGAGGAGCGAGAGCACGGAGCTGGCTCTGGGCTGGGGGAGGCGGCGGCGGACCGGGAGGAGGCGGAGGAGGAGGAGGAGCGGGGCAGCGGGAGGCAGCGGCGGCGGCGACCCGGCTGGGGTGATGGTGCAGGTGCCCGGGTTGGGCGCGGAGCTGCCCCGCTGAGGGGCGCCTGGTCCGGGGTCCGCAGCGCCGCGGCGTCTCTCCCGGGAGCGGCGGGCGGGCGGCGGCGGGAAGATGCTGAGCAGGTTGATGAGCGGCAGCAGCAGGAGCCTGGAGCGCGAGTACAGCTGCACCGTGCGGCTGCTGGACGACAGCGAGTACACCTGCACCATCCAGGTCAGTGCCGCCCGCCCGCCCGCCCGCGGGACCCCCTTCGTCCCCGGAGTCTGGCCAACTTGGCCCCTTTCCTTTCGCCGCTGCCCGGAGGCGCCCCAGACCCCAGCGCTTTGTCCGCCCCTGGCTGACTACGGAGCACGGCCCCCGTGTGCGGGGCGCCTCCTCCTCCCGAGCCCCTGTCCGTGGCCAGGCGCCGGGCGTTTGGCGCCGCTGCGGGGCGAGTCGCCGCGTTCCGGAGCCCCAACTCGGTCCCCACCCTGCTCTTTCCCGGGGTGAGGGCGCTCCATCCCGGCTGCTGGAGCCGGCCCGGGGAGGGGGCATCGTACGCGGGCGTCCGGAGGGGGGCGGGCAGGGCTGGAGGCTCCTTCCCTGGCCGCCCCGTCGGGGGTGGGAGGGGGCGCGCGCAGGCTTTGGCTCTCCGGCCCAGCAAGGACGGCTAGCAGGCTTTTCTTATCTCTCCTTGGTGGGAAGGATAACGCCGGTATATGTCATAATCCCCCCCCCACCCCCCCCCCATTCTCCAGCATTTGTGAGTCAGAGCTCTCTGAAGGTAGAACTGAACGCGCAGCCCATGCACAGTGGCCTATTGAAGGCAGCCCAGCCAGCCCGCCCTCTGGGTGTTCAAGATCCAGGCCCCCCCCCACCCGCCGTTCGCTCCCCAAATCTTATTCTGTTGGGCAGTTTTGGGGGGAGGGGGGCGTGAGGTGAAGATTTAGCAACAAGTCCCAGCGATTTCAGGGTTGACAGTGGCAAGAAAGAATCGGTGACTTACAAAAACACACACACACGCCAACAATAAGATAATGCTGCACAGCATTCCCACCAGAACCGGGTATTTTTGAAGGGCTTTGTACAACCTCTGGCTTAATGCTCCTTCGCCGCCGCTGTGTGGCACGTCATGAGTAGTAGTCTTCCCCGGGAGGGAGCGCGGTCATGGTCCTCTCTCCTCCTCTGTGAAGTCAGAGGTAGGAAGCACTGACGATGCTGCTGCTCCGGCGTGTAGTTGAGCAGCCGGGTGGATCCTGCGCTCACTGCCGGGGACTCTGCTCTTTCTGGAGAAGCAAATAGAGTTGGACCCGCAGGGGTCTCTCACCTGGTCCCTGTTTCAGCAAGAAATCAGAGGGGCTTCTCGCCTCAGATGATGTGGCAGACAAAAACTGTCGGCCCAGGTCCTATCCTCTTTGTCTCCCTGCCTACTCTCTCCCCCCCCCCCCCCCCACGTATTTATTTATTTTTTTGCTGACAATGCTCAATAGCGGAAAATAGCGGTGTGTGAGAAAGACGCCGCCGGGTAGTGGATGAGAGCAGCTGCCTCTGCTGACTCCGTGCTCAGTTCTGCCTTCTCTCCTCTCCACTCCCTCTTCCCCCCTCCTCCCAAACCAGCTCTGGGCATAAGGGATGACTGCTGCCAAAGACCCGTGAGGGCAGAGGAAAAGAACAAAATCTCTTTCTAAGGTCACTTACATACAGATTAAGCAACCATAAAGATTCTAGCCATCAAGTGAAAGGATTATTGTAGTTGAATATGATAGAGATGTTATGTGTTATGTCCTTGCTGAATAAGTGGCATGCTACTTTTTGTTTCTATTGTATCTTTATGTCATTGTATAGTGTTTTTTTTTTTAGTGGGGGAGGAGAAAAGATTGAGTTGACCCTTTCACCATTTGAATACATTGTCGAGAGCCTTTAAAGTATTTATCCTTTTTGTTTTAAAATTTAAGGCTTTACACAACAGCATATTAAGGGCAGTGCAAGATTAAGACTTCACGACGCCTAAAAATACTTTTGGGGTATACATTGGTGAAATGAAATTCCCAGGACAGGTCATTAACTTCTGCCAAGGCGTAGTAAAAATGAAACACAATTCATGCCTCCACCCCACTAGTGATAATCTTGCGGTTTTAAGGTATCACAATAAGGCAATTGGTTATTTTTCCCAGTTAGTGGAACCTTTAAAGTTGTGAGTAGTTTTCATTACTATTGAAAAAATAGTGTTTTTAAGTTAAGCAGAACTTTTTGCACTTATGCTTACTATGTGGTTGCATTTATTTATTATAATTTAATGTTATAGAAATTTAGGAAAATTAAAAGTACAATTTTAAAAATTAAGCTTGGTATAACATGACCATACTGTAACATGTCCACTGTCTAGACATGTTAATGATTGTGTATAGTGATTCTTGCATAAGATCTAAAAGACACAGGGGTTCTAAAGTATATATAATATGGTTATTTTTGGGCACCACTATTATGAATTGCTGTTGCTTTTATCTTTGTGAGGAAATGTAAGAAAAGACAGTATTTTATGTGAAATTAACATTTTGTTTATATAGCTTGTCTGAGCATTCAGAGACTAAGCTTTTCTTAGCAACTTTTCCGGTTGTGCATTTCTCTGTGTGTGTTTGTGTGCTTATTTGTAAAATTCTGGGTACAGGGTTCTTAAAATCAGAATTGAAAGAAACTGTGAACTACTTACTAGGTTAAAGCAATATCCCCAACATTTTAGGAATTGCAGTACCGTATATTTAAAAAAAAAATTGGTGACATTTTGAACTTCTTTTCCTTATTGTATGCCATATTTTTCTTTAAATAAGGTATGTATTTCAGAGCTTCTTGAGATAATTAGACACCACCTAGTGTATTGCAAAAGCAGAGCTGCAATAGCCACATTTGGTACATTTCAGTTGTAGGAAATTCTGTCAAAAGTATTGGTCTAGCCTTTAATATTGCAGCAGTTATAATGATCTGGCATTTAGGATGTGATTATTAGGGCGATGAAAATGCCTTATGTCCTCTCAATGAAGGTTGCCACAGTTATCAAACTATTCTTTTATTCTTTCTGATATGCAGATGTATTTGTAGACCGTGAGAAATGAAAGCACACATACACAGTGAGGTTGTAGTGTAATTGCTCCCCTGTTGAAGAACATTGTTAACAGCTCCCTGCCAGTTTTGAAGGTCATTGTCTCATAAATGCAGATCTGGCCCATATTTTTCACACATCTGTTTCATTTTATTCACATCTATATTTATTTACTACATTTACTGCCTTGCTTGGTTATTTTACTTGGTAGAAAAATAGGAAAAGTAAAAAAGGTGCCTAATATCTTTGAATGCAATATACCAAATGGAGTCATTTTAAAGCTTAGGCATATGATATCCTAAGGAATAGACTTTCAACTATCTTTGAGGTTATAATAGTTTATAAAATATTAAGAATATTTGTTGCATAAATGCCAGTAGAAATATGTATTAGAAAATACATGTTTTCAAATCAGAAATATTAACTCCTTTTGCGATTATTGAAAAGTAGAGTTACCCTGTAAATGAATTAGATTTTGCTGGAACCTATTCCAATAACTACTGATTAAATAGCTAGGTTAAATTGGTTTTTGCAGTTAATGAGGTACTACCATTAATAAAAATGTGTGTGTGCAGAGACAAGTCTATAATGAAATTAAGGTTTGGGTTTGATGTGGCTCAGCCACTTAGTAATTGTACCCTTACTCTTAGTAAGGGAGGCAGCATTAGGGGAGAGAACAGATGTATTGAGCCCTGTATTTGTCAGGCATTCTACCTGTGTTATACTGTACCTCACAACATCATACCCATTGTAGCAGCTGAAGAAAATGGGATTGTGGATTTGTGGGGGAACCGATGTTTGCTGAATGGCTAGCCCTGTATGAGGCGCTCTGCTGTATGCTTCACTCATTTGGGAGGTAGGTGGTATTATCCTCTTTTTAAAATGAAAGACAGGCCCAGGTGAAGGTACTTGCTCAAAGCTAGCAGATGGCTGATTCTTTTGTCTCCAAATCCCATCTTTTCCTCTTTATCAATTCTCCCTAAGTCCCTTCTCCTGTCTATACCTTAATTTCCTCATCTATAAAATGGGAATATTAATACCCTGTTTCCCTGAAAATAAGACAGTGTCTTATATTAATTTTTTCTCCCAAAGTTGTGCTAGGTCTTATTTTCAGGGATGTCTTATTTTCAGGGAAACACAGTACTTAGTTCACAGTAAAGATAAAATTAGTTAGAAATATTATGAATAATAGGGAAAAATTAAACAGAATAATACACTATACTTACATTGGGCCTTATTCTATGCAAATAAAAAATAGAATTGAGAAATGTTTTATTTAAGCAGTAAGTTCCCTTAAGAGGACTTCTGATAAATCTCAGTGAAATTGTAAAATCCAAAGCTGGGATGTGGAATCTTTATTAGAACTGTTCTTTAAATTTTAAGAGTTCAGGTTTGCTTTCCTTCTGTCCCACCAAGTCTTTGGCCTTAGAGGGGCACTTATTGCCTGGAACGTTCTCTGTCTTTTCTAAGAACTTCAGTGTCATATTTGGTAAGCGGAATCCTTGGTTTCATTGTATTTTCATGAATTTAAAAAAATATTTTAAAAGCAATTATGCTGTCTCAGGATCTCTGTTACAATAATAAGCAAGATTAATTCTTAAAACTAAGATAGCTCCAGAATCAGCCCTCCAGAATCCTAACATCCCTTGTATTCTGTTTCTTAATTTGTGTTTTTAAACATTTATTACAGAAAGTGAATGCAAACCATCCGTTTTCATACAGAAGGTAAATTCTAGATGTCCATTTTTGCTCTGATTCTTTTTGTGTTTGAAAAAGTACTGTTTAAGGAAGCATCAGTGGCATCCCAAAGAAACCTAGAAGCATTCACCACACAGGTTTTACTCAGTGGGATTTGCATTGATTTGCATTTTATTAAATGCTTGAAATGAATATGCTAGATGAGGCTATTCAACATAATGTAAAATAGAAGAGCATGTGGTTTTTGAGTCTTCTGTTTGCTACATTGTCCAGAGACTCTTTATCATGTCTGTGCTATCATTAATATGACACACACAAAAATGTTTGCCAAAATGAAATCAGACAACCTAAAGACAGAAAGTAATCATTTTTATTATTCATTTGGTTTATGGATAGGTATTAAAATGTATAACTCACAATCAGAAGAAGCAAGGCATTA